GAAAGTATTGATTATATCGTTCGGATTAGTCCTGGCTCAGCGGCTGTCCGGCGCCGGTGGCGTAATACAGTATTCGAACACGCTGTTCAAACTGTCCGGGGCCGCCATCGAGCCGAGCACGGCCTGCATTATAGTCGGCGCGTTCCAGGTGGCCGCTTCCGGCCTATCGTTTCTGCTCATCGACAAAGTAGGCCGGCGAACATTGTTGTTGATTTCGTCGGGACTCGTCACCGTATGCCTAGCACTGTTGATTTTCTACTTCGGACTGTTGGAACGCAGTACGTATAACTTATCGCCAACATTGCCTACTGTTAAGGGGCCCACATACAGGACCATTCGAAACTGTCGGCCTGTACGTGATTTTCGTAACCCGTGATTGCTCTTGGGTGTGCCCATATGAGCGTCGATTTGTTTTAACGCTCGACACGTTTCAAACTTCTTTGACTTCTGTAATCAATTATGACTGTAATAATCGTAGAACGCGTTATCGGTCGAAAAACAAAAAAGTCGTCAAACTTTCATCAAATAAAACCATTACAAAAACATTATTTTGACCATATTATTATTAATGCGATGCAAGCCTCTTCCGTTCCTATACGAACTATGAATTTGTTAATTATTTTAATACGCCGGTGGTATTCGTTACATAGAGCAAACAATAAATATAAACACGCAAAAACATATCGACCAACATCTTAAGCGACATTCGTTTTTAAACAATGCGACCTGAAGATTTAATGTGCAATATTAACCGTATGTGTCGAACTCGATGGTCGACATTCATAGGATTGTCCGTTCACGAACAACTGACAATCTTGAATGATCTTGTATAGGCCACGTTAAACATTGTGCCTGCTCTCGTTAAAGCTCACGTTGTATACTACGACAAATCGGATCGGGCGGAACATTAGGACAAAATCGATTTTCACGAGACCCCGCGGCGTTATGTACGCTGTCATAGATGTGTAAAACTTAATCGACATTAAATGGATCTGCCGCGGTAAATTGTAAATGTGCACGGCGTGCGAAATCTTTAATGTGCAGTCCATTGAAAGGAAAATAAATGCACTCAACAATCGGCTGACCGCGATTCCGTTCCGTTCTGTTTCGGTCTGATCCGAAATAGTGTCCGGCCAGCTTAAACAGTCCTCCGTGATAAGTCTTCTGGCCGATTTGTCTCTCTCACTGAAGCCCCTCCTTCCCAGTCACCTATAAATGATAATGCACGACTTCTTAGTTATTACGACCGCCCTGTTTTATCACAGACTTGTTGCCGACGGACTCGCCGTGGAAAATGACCGTGCTGCTGGTCCTGTGCACCTTCATATCGGCCTTCCGGCTTGGCTTGGGTCCCATTCCCTGGTTCATCAGTATCGAGCTGATGCCGGACGCGTACCGGGATCGCATACAATCAGTCACCGCGTCGTTCTCCTGGTTCCTGTCGTTCGTGATCATGAAGACGTTCAAGGTGCTCGTCGAGAGCCATCCGGTCGAGGTGTGGTGTTCATACGCCGCGTTCTCCGCCGTCGGATTCGTTTTCATACTTGCGTGTGTGCCGGAGACCAACAACAAGAGTAACGAACAAATCCTCAGCGACCTGACCGACTGAAAATGCAGCTGACCGACATCGATCGTCCCGGACGGAAAATATGGTGTTTTTTACTTCCCCCCCTCCCTACTTTCCACAAAAATCTTTTTCACGTTCCCGAGAGTTCGCATTGCCAGTTGCTCATTTCTGTGATATTATTCTCCCTCGTCCAGTATACGAAACACTCAAATTAATTTTTAATTATTTTTAATTATATACGTCTAATAATATTGGATATACAGAGTATATATAAATGTAAGAAACTCGTTATCTCGGAAAATAGTAAATGTATTTTTAGGCAATTTAATAACTGTTCTGATACACTAACGATATTTTTTGTCACCCTTAACTTAGGGGGTGAAACTATTGCTTACTTTTGAATTTAAAATAGCAATCTTTATAAAAATCCCATAAATAGGTGAAGTTTTAGTTTAAATACCTTTTGATGTTGACGCGTTTAGTTTCCGTTTATCTGTTAAAGAGATATTTCACTTTTAAGTTAAGGACCGGAGGAGAGTAGTGGAGTACAAGGATAGATGTTTTGAAAAGACCACTCTTCCCCTATCGAGAGAATGGCAAACATACCTGTGGAATATTTCGTCAACGGGTTGACGAAAATTAAAAATATCAACATCGAAATTGATTTAAATTAAAACATCACCTATTTACATAAAACAGTTAATACTTTCCGAGATATCAGTGTCTTACGTTATGTTGACTACTCTGTATACTTACCTGGTACAATGTAAAGAAAAACATACGTTTTAAACCATGGCATTTAGAATACAATGGCGTAGTCGAGCGTATACGCGGGTGTACGATGTATACACATTTCATAGTTTTTCCACAGTGCATAAACTCAAAACTTGTTTACTTGAAACGCGTATACGTTTTGTTTATTATTAACATTGATTAAAAATACTATTTATAATCAATGTTATTAGTTATTATCAAAACACCGTATGTCAACGCATGTAATCACAACGATTGACCTTTTTCCTTTTTTTCCCACTGTTTCTGATAACCAGTGCTCGGAACTTAATCAGCGATGTAATCTCAAATTTTCAATAAGTATACGCGGTGGTGAAACTAGAACTTAGAAGGTCTTTAGGGTCGTTAGGTATTTACTTTCGAAACAACGAAAAACATATTTGAATTTTATAGTACATTTGTTTTTGCATATTTGGTGGTTTTTTAGTAGTAAAAATATTTGATGATTCATGAAAAAACTATTTAAAAACTCATTAATAAATAAATATATCCGTTAATTTTGAAACTTTTCACTGGGTATTATTGTATCGTGTTTTTCAAATATTTATCTAATGTAAAATACTTTTCTTAAGAAATAATTCAACAGCTATAGTTCATTGTATCAATATACCCATGACCGCCGCCGGGTACAAGCAAACCACGCGTTGCTTTTGGGAGACATACAGTTATGGAAAAATTAGAACGGCAATATTGAATTAATAATTGACAAAAAAATACGGTAATAAAATGTTTGATTTAGGACGGAAAACATCTTAAGACGGCCCTGAATATAACTATCCGTATACAAACGTGTCAATTCCGAGTAACGTATCCGCGAATTTGTATTGTTTCGATTTTACTATTTTTATTTCATAGTCGAAAATGCCGAAAATTAAACAATCCGCAACAAATCATTTAAAAATGTTCGTGTTAGAGTACGGTACGGGTATATTTAAAATTGATAAAACTAGTGATTATTTTTTTGGAAAAATAACAGCGTGTATTGCATTGTATTTATGCGTTTAAATTTAAGCATAAATAATATGCTTTGAAAATATCCACTTGTACGTTTTGTTTTTTACACAAAATGTTCATAGATATGTTCACTAGAGAATTCCCCTGATGAATATTTTCCGAGAATAATTTTAATTCAGGGTTACTAATTTTTAAAGAGGTGTGTTTGCTGACAATCAAGCTTTACACAATTCTTGCGATACTAAACACTTTTTCGAAGTATTACTTATTGGCTATTGAATTTTTTTAAAAAAAATAATAGTTTTATTAGTTTTAAATGTATCCATACAGTACTCCAGCGTGAACATTTTCAAACGATTTGTCGTGGATCGTTTTACCTTCGGCATTTTCGGCAATGAAATAAAAATAATATAATCGAAACGAAACGAGACAATACAAACTCGCGAAAATATTATTCTGAACTGACGATTTTATTTACGGGTAGGTATATTCAGGCCCGTCGTAAAATGTTTTTCGCCCTAAAACAAACATTTCATTGCCGTCTTGTTTGATGCTAATAGATAAATATATGAAAAATACGATACAATTTACGATCCAGTTTCAAAGGTTCAATATTAACGCATCTATATGTTTATTACTGAATTTTTAAACAGTATGTTCATGAGTCATCAAATATTCCCACAACTGAAAAATAACTAAATATGCAAAAAAAAAGTTTTCACTCAACTTTTAGATATGTTTTTCGATGTTTCAGAAGCAAATACGCGTCCCGAATCCTACTAAGGACTTTTTGTTTTACGTCAACGCGTTAACTCAATAAATATATTGTACATATTTTATTTATTGTTCGATAATTAATTAATTTTTACCTCTATGTTTACGACGATTAAAATTCATAATTATTGTATACTTAAAGTATTTATTTGTGTATGGTTGAAGAAAACATCGAAAATGCGTTAAGATTGTTTGTTTACATTCATGTTTATTAAGAATTTGTGTATTAAATTGATTTTGTCTTTTCAATTTTCTTTTCTTATAAATAATGTTTTCCTTAAGATCACGATTTGCATATGATTTTCACTTCTCAAGAAATATTATACATTAATAAGTATTTCTTTGATTATTCGTGAGTTTAGAGTGAGTTCAACTAAAAATTAAAATGACTTACTTTTAAACATTAACTATATTCATTCATTAATTAATGTTCTCAATTAATTCCTCAACATCTTCTAAAAAAAAACCACGTTGAACAGGCCACAGTTTGATAGAGCTGTTGCAACAGCTTAGTACTACAGAAAATAACCCAACATATTACTTTGAAATAGGAATATCGCCGAAACTTTTGTTTACGAGAGTGGACAAAAATCAAAAAAATGTTGACAGAAAACTTAAATTTACTTTTTATAAACGTGGTAAAACTTTCAAAACTTTTGAGCAACTATTGAACTATTTATAAGACATTTTGATTTTTTGAGTTTTTACATAATTTTTATTTGGCAGGTATTCTGTAGATAAAATGTTGGAATAAACAAACATGTTTGAAAATTTTACAGGAAGTTCATGAGTGTCATGTAGTATTTTTTTTTATACGAATTTTCATATCAAATTTTGACGAAAATCGTAAATATTAAGGCCTTTCATAATATGTATAACCGAACTTCGCTCTAAATCATTGTTTGTTAGCAATGGTTTTTTGTTGATTCAAGGTATAATAAATAACTTTATTTATTCTACTTTCCAAACTACCCACTTACATCAGTAGCCACACTCGTCCCTAGTATCAGCCCTTTTTTTTTTTTCTTTTATTGATAAACCTTGCTGTTTGTTCGACATTTTCAAGATTCAACATTTTGATCGCGAACTACAATAAACTAAACGACTCGAACACACGACACACGTCGATAACTGAACGACGGGAAATACGCTGTCACACTGATAAGTTCAAAAATAAAATTGTTATTACAATTATTATAAATTAATCGGTTTGAAATGCTCTACGTAAAATCGATAAGAATTTTATTATCCTATTAAATTATCCTGTACAAAGTGATTCTAATAAAAATGTGAATTTAACATTAGTTACGTAACATCTGGTTTGAGATGTTTTCTTTTTATTCTAATGAACGGTCGGTTCTACAAATCAATGAGTTCCAATCGTCGTGGTTGGAACCCACTGTGTTAAATAATAATATGACCACGACTAAGAACAGATTTCGCATACAAATAATACCGGACATAAAACGAGAAGTACGCGATAACGCGATGATTTACTTCGATATTATTATTGTTACGAGTCGGTATACTATTACAGTTGCAAATCAAAACGCATAGTAAGTATAAATTGTATTTTTAATACGAGCACTTTGTACAAAACGATAAATACGAAATATAGGTAATATTTACGGTATTTATATATCGTGAAAATTATGTAAATGTGTTTTCGTCGTCCTTTGGGCTATACGAGTCTATAATATTCGTCGGTATTGATTTTTTTTTTTTTTAATTATTTTAATGAAGAAAAAAAAACAACAACAAAATAGAATATTATAGTAAAATGTACTGTAGTAGCGGGTCTCGTATACCCAATTAACGGATCTAATGAACGTTTTCTTATCGCGTGTGTCATTCGTTTATGGACTTGTCCACATATTTATTTTAATACAATGTTATCGTGACGTGATTATGACATAATAATAATAATTATAAAATATTAAGGAGCTCGTTAACGCCAGGCAGTAGTAACAATAATATCACATCGCATTATAATTTTCATTCGGTTATTAGAGTTTTCACTTTTGTCCGGCGCGGACATCCGACGATCGAATAACAATACGATTTTCTTCGCAAAATATTTGTAATTTTTTTGTTCACACCTCCACCTACCCCCACCCTCTTTTCGAACTGTACGCGTTTTGAACCGTTTTGATATTAGAGAATTCGACGGGCAGGTAAGAGAAATTTTTAATAATAATAATAATGAAAAATATCATTGTAACTACATGCAGTGGATTCTGCACTTAATGTGGGACACGTTGGGATCAATTACGTTTGCTCACGTTAAGCGGTTGCCCAAAATAACCGAAATGAATATCGTTATACGTTAGAATCGGGATCATTACGTCCATTTTTAAAGTATGAACAAAAAAAAAAAAACAATATTTACTTAAGACTAGATTAAACAAATGTAAAGATTCTAATAACCATTTGACAATATTTTCTTTAGCATTACTATACTTATAACAGATGATTTTGTTTCTCATATATAAATTTGTATAATGTCGAACCGCTAAAACGAAATGATAACACCATGTATTTTGACCAGGTTCAATCATAAATAACAAAAATATTTTAAAATCTTGGGCTTGATCATGCTATCAATTATAAATGACTTCATGAAAAAAAAATTCAAAATAATTGTAAAAACACTAAAAAAAAATATAAAAATGCGCACATATAATTGACACATATAATTATACGACCCACGGGTGGGAGGGCGATGAAAAATATAACAATGCGCACATATAATTGACACATATAATTATACGACCCACGGGAGGGATGCCCCCTTCGCCACCTTCCACAGGTAAACCACTGATCTTACGGCTGATGTTTAGAATTGGATAATGTCGAATTTTCATTCATAGATCCGATGTACTGTTTATTTTAATATTAAAGCAAATTGGCCTATTATCAAACTTAAAGAATATTATAATGATAATATTATCTGCGTTACTATACAATTATGGTTTTATTTCCAATGTTTGAATTTTAAAGTACGGCATGAACATGTGAGATAATACAACTTAAACATGTTTGTATCTCGGTAAAATATTGAATTAAAACCTACGTACAAACGTGAAAAATGTTTTTATCTTTGAGGGGATTGGAAACGGTGATTTTCTATCTTAGTCTATCACACGTGCAACATAGAAATTTAGACGTATTCTATTTCTGATGTACCGATTGGTTTTCGATTGAAAGCGATAAGAATTTTGAATACAGATTCGAATTTGTCGTCAAGTCTACTTTAAATTAACTTTCTAACATTTTTGATTTCATCTCCCTAAATCTTAAAAAAATAGCCACACTAAAAATATTGAGAATTATATACTAAGCTCTATAACTAGAAATTTTCCATCACGGTTTATTAATCTGGGAAGGACTTTTAGATAACGTTCTTAAACATAGGCGCAACTAAGCCTTAAATTTTGGAGGAGGAGGTTTAAAATGATTATAACAATATAAATCACTCTTTTTGTATAATATTTTTAATTGGTTGTTAATGGTATAGGAGTAACGTTTCAAAACGTGTTGCAAAAAATTATATTTGTAAATCAAATTTTAGCAGGATTAATTTAAATCGTTCGATAATAACATGAAATCGTGATAAATGATATTTTTTTATGCATAATAATAATAGTATTATATTACCGCGAGGAGAAGCAGATTCAACTTTCACGGAAGACTGCGCCTACGGTTTAATATTTTTAAAATAGTATTATTACTAGTTTTTCAAACCGGTTTTCTGTGTAAATATATCGTGTATAGGTATATTAACCTGGCCGAACAAGTGGTTTTATTTTGACAGGTTATGGAGTTTATAGCGACGGCGAGTGCGGCTCAGTTCTACGGCGGCGTAGACGGGTAAAGTCGTCTGCAGTCGTACAGTGCCGGAAAAACATATCTCGCGATTATATTATTTTGTACGTTTCTTTTGTTCACGACGGTGACGTGTTATAAGATATATTTTGATTTCCGTTCGCCAACAACGACCTAACGATTATCGATATCTTCACACACCGGTGTTTCTACAATCCTTAATAACAATATTACATATTATATTGCTATCGTGTTTTGGATTGCGTGTAACCTTATCAATATTCCATTTTTTACGCACTGCAACAGGTACAGTTTTATGATTATTTAAGTAAAAAAAAAAAAAAGTGTTCGCACTTTTATAATACACAACTATACATTTTAAACGCATACCGATGACAGTTAAATTGTATTTGGACATGTTCACTATTACTATGGTTGTTTACTCGTTATAACGACTAAGCCGCGCATTTGTCTGCGGTTTAAATTCACCTCAAAACGCAAAAGTTACCTATTCATTTTTGTTAGGGATTTGTTGACGTTCGTTTTTACGCTGCATAATATCTATTGCATTACATAATTCTTGTACTCGGTTAGGCGTACGTACGTTAAAAATTAACGTTGATGGAAATTAACGGACAAAATTAACGTTGAACGTGAACGAAAAATGTATTATATAATGGTGTTGCACATACAGACTCATCGCTTTAATATTACAGTAGTTATTTAATATATCCAATCGTTACCATAAAACAATATTTAATACGTGATTATATATTCTTTTAAAATTTAAATGAATTGATAGAATTTAAAATATTTAATATAATAACGGTCAGTGGAGGTCAGTGTCCAGGAATTTTCAATGGGAGGGGATGTAAATAATAATCACGATTCAGGAATAAATTGTTGAATCTTCTTTTGTCATACCTAACTCGACAATGTGAATTTAAATGCCAAATCCAAAAAAATCCAAACTTGACTGAGGTATATTATTTAAATTTAAATAAATTCTCGTAGTTATTGTATTTTTAAGCGAATGGGGAGGGGAGAATAAAATGTATAAAAGCTCCATTTACATGCCACTTGGCGTACTTAGGCTTTAAGATTTTGTCAAGATGGGATATATTTACATATAAGGACTTATAAAGTGGTTCGGATAGTTTTGTTTTAAACTTGAAAACGTATACGTTCAGGTTTTATTCGGTGTTATGTATATTAACTATAATTATTAAATTGTTGATTTTTATGACTAGAAAGTAAAAAGAAATCAATGTTTAAAAATGTGTTATCATCTAAATAGTAGAACACAAGTAAAAACTTCCAGGGGGATATATCACCTGAATCTCCCACTGTAAATACGCCACCGATACAGATAATAGCCAATATATAGGTACGTATAATTTAAAATCGTGTATGAGGTCTAAAATATGGTAATAATATTGTCATAAACCTCGTACCTTCAACAGCACAATATATTTATTATTTTTTCGTCATTTTTACAATTCAAATATTTATTAGTACCTATGATATTCAGTTTGTCAGTTTATTTATTTGCAGAGAATTCACACAAAAAATATTTTAGATTTACATAACAGGTTGGTTTATTAAAAACAAAAAAAAAAACAATTATTCTATAATATCATTCGGTCAATTTAAATTATCTAACCATAAACCTATACTCATAATACCAAGCAATAAATAATTGGTTATAAAAAAATGTTATAAATCATAAACATATACCTATTATACCTACAATATAGGTAATTACTGTTAATTATGTATTATACTATTACAGTGATAATAATAATTCGTATTTTATTGTATGAATAACGCCGTTTTTAAAAATCGTTTATTTCGTCTTGCATAACATTATGTCTCTTGCGCATCTTAATATGTGTAGATGAATTCAACAAAATACATATATTCGATTCGCCCATTTTTACCGAATTTTCCCCGAGAATAGAGATTAACATAATATTAATGTGTATTTGGACCAAATGAATTCTAACTCTGGCATTACTGTATTATTAAGTTATTATAACCTACACATTTTTTGACTGCAATTGTTTTTTTTTTTTTTTTTTATAACACAAGTCACTTAGTGTGTTGTGAAGTTGGCTTTGATATTTTATAAATTGATCTTATATTGTATCTGATTAATAACTGTAATTATAATAATTAATAATTATAGTTATATTATGTAACTATTAACAATATAAGTCAACATAAGTGATATATTAGTAATATTGTAAATAGAATTCATTCTATAAAAATAAAATAAATACAAAATCACAATTTTTTTGTAAGTTTTAAAATGATTGGTTGAATTTCAATATGAATTTAACCAATGTGTTGTTGTTGGCGAAAGATGTTATTTTATAGCTTTGTACACTGTTTCAGACCAGTGCTGGATCCAGGGGGGGGGAGTATTAATTAGTCTCTCCTCTAAAACACCCTATTATAGTACGCTTTTTTCTTATATTGTGGTAAAACCTATATTAAGCTTTAGTGTTTTAAATGGTTTTACTTTTTTTAGGGAGCGGGGGTAAAAAGATTCACCACTGTTACAGACTCCCCGAACGAAGTCATTGGATAATATGTAGTATATGCATGACGTTATATAGTATCAAAAATATGAGTATGTCTTTTAGGAGTTTTAACTTTCAACCGCCTTACCATTGTTATAGTAAATAATGTTTCCATTTTTATTTTTTTTTATGCTTTGTTTTGCAAATAATATTTTTATTTAATAAAATAGGTGGGGAAAAAATCGACTCTAGCAATGGTACTCCACTACTCACTGCTCACGGATGTTTGTCTTTTCATTTTTAGTAAAATGTATCTACTTTAATTATATTCGATCTTTCCGGTGCGCATAGGCCTTTTCAGAATACGTTTCACCGAAGTCATAAATCAAATTAGTTTGCTTGTAGATTGTAATAATTTGGGTAAAACGTCGAGGAGAAATACGAATGATTATAGTTTCTTTTGGCAAGCAAAGAGACTTTCATAAGCCTCCCAAGGTAACGTCGTTCACGTATCAGTAGATACGTTTCATAAAGAATCGATATACGATCGTGAAATAAACAAACAATAAATTACGATCAATCGGTATAATCGGTTAGTTAATACACATTTTTTTTTTCTGTTAGACTTTATAAATCAAATCATATAGCTATAAAATAATTTTAAATTCCCCGATGACACTAATGAGTTTTACATTTATTGATGGTATACTAGATTTTTCAAAAATGTTAAAAAGGATGCCGCGACCGCATGACGTGCTGACTCTGTCTTACAAACCCTTATCTTAAGTCCTCTTAACGTTATCATAGGTATCGATAACTGTTTAGTTATAATAAATAACATTTTTCTCAAAATATATAAAAATAATGCGTTAAGTTCGACTAATACGTAGAAATGTAATATTAGACGCTGTTGGTTTTGACTTAAATTCAAAATCTCACATTATTGGTACTATACACTATTACCTACTTACAGTCAAATAATATTTTTCGAAAATACTACGCCAATATTTATTTTCGGCACATTTATTTTCTACCGCTGTGCCTATATTATATCGCTGTTACTATTTTTGAATACTTTTTCACAATTATTATTATAATACCATTTCAGTGAACTTATAAGTGTATAAGTATACTTACAAGTGAATAGCATTCGTGTCAATAATGTTTGTATTTTGTCTGTTGCAGCTCAAATGGAGAAGCTTCCGTTAATATCGAAAGTGAATGGTTTCGTCAAAAGACCCCTTTTGGCGAGTTTTATCGGTAAGTGTATAATATTCAGATATACGCCTGCAGTATAATAATTATTTTTAAACGCCGTTTTTTCTTTTTTATCGTCGCTCTCCGTGTCTCTTGTATTACAGCTTCCATCATGTCGTTCGCTTCGGGGACCGTTGTCGCCGGTTGGACAGCACCCGAGACACCGGCGGTCGTTGGCGAGACACTATTTATGCCGAGATCCATGGAACAATCGTCGTGGATCGTTTCCATATACGTAATCGGTGCGCTCATCGGAGCTTTGCCGGCTGGTAAAATTGCGAAACGAATCGGCAGCAAAAAATGTCTATTGTTACTAGCGGCCCCCATGCATTTCGGATGGTTAATCATCATGTTTTTCGTGAACCAAGTAAATAACATTTTTATTATTATAATACTATGATTATTTAGCCGAGAAAGTAGAGAAAAGATGACTGCAGTTGGCTGGTCATGCGTGAGGCTGTATAATACGGTACAGGATCAAACTTGAAAATAAACCCTTTTTGTAAACATTCAGTGAACATTTTATACAAACTCATGATGATACATCCGGAAATTTACATACGTGGATCGGAGAACTATGGGTCTCTATAATCCCTCCTTCCTAAATCCGGGCTTAGTCTTGCGCTCAAACCGCCGAATAAAGTTTAATATTCCAAAAGGAAAGGCTGCATACAAATATTAACTACACTATTACTCATTTTTATCTACATGAGTATTTTTATTAAATTTATTCTTCAATTTCAAATATAATTTAATTTTTTTTTTGGTATTTTTTTTTTAACATTCATTACCAATATCCAGTAGAACAATATATTCAAGTATAATGTCATTAATCATATTTATTGTTGCTATGACTTTTTTTTTTTTTGAGGGCGGGGGTGAATATTTTGAGCTTGGAGGTGCTTAAGCCTTCCAAACACTCCTCTAGTTGCATCTAAATGGCCTTGAGTAGATGGGAATATTAGGTGAAGAGCGGTATGGAAACGTTTAAACTGGAAACCGATTTGCATGATTTGGCGATTGATAGGATATATGTATATAATATGTTATGGAAAAAAAATAATAACCGGTTATTTATATTACATTTTAGTTGCCATGGACAAGAAAATCTCTTTTTGAAAAATGTAACCAAAAACCCGGATTATATTGATTATCGTATAGTACTCGAGAACAGATAATATAATAAATGTTCAGGTTTATATTCGCGCATCATAATGGTAAATGTTAACATAATATTATACCAGGGGTTTTGGTGAATGTTGACATTTTTATAGACGTTTTAAAATTTCGTTAACACACGCAATACGTATTTGGTGTATGGTGCATATATTTATAAAAAAAAACTGCAAGTTTTTTAACATTTTAAATTCTGACCGAAGTGAGGAATGTATTGGTTTTACAATGATGTTTGTTTTTTTTATACTTTATGCAAAATTTCTACCAGAAATCTTGCTCTAATTTTAAAGTGTAACTTCTTTTCTGGAAGAAAATTTTTAATTTTATCTATTAGGTACTTTATGGATGTCATTTTTTTGGTTTTCCAAGCATTTTTTATATTTGGGTAAACTTGGAAAAAATATAGGAAAAACGAGAAAATACGAAAACAATACTTTAATTATTTTCAATATTGTGTGTCCCCCTAATACAATACCCTATTGGAAAAAAAAATGAATACTTACAGAGTTATTACTATTCGGATAACACTGTAGAATTCCCTGTATTATCGTTCAATACAATACACAAGCAATAGTAATAGTTTGAATGGGTATCCTATTAAGCGGCTGTTTCATGACCAAATCTGGCGGGTATTTGTGTGGATGTCAAATATTTTATCAATTTTAGATAATATTGTATTAACAATAAAGGCGAAGTACAAGAGCGTCTATAGTAGCCTTCTGATTCTTCTGAGTTCGGGCTATTATGAGGTTTTCGCTATTGTATTGTAACTGCTTTGTCGAAGAAAGATTTCACGCCACCACTGCGGACAAGGCCACGTTGGTAATTCTAATCCAATACTAATGTTTTATTACAGATTTATTTGATCTACTTGGGACGTCTTCTGTGCGGATTGTCTTTAGGAGCCGTCACAGTAGTGGTGCCTCTGTACAACTACGACGTCTCTCCAGACACGTGTCGCGGTAGGGGAGGAGTGTATTTGGATTTCATGTTGTGCGCCGGTATACTGTACTCGTACATGGCCAGTTCCGTGATGGGCTTGGCCATATTTTCGTTTACCTGCTCCTTAATACCAATCGTGTTCTACGTGTTGTTCTCGTTCATGCCGGAATCGCCGCATTATTTGTATAACCGAGGACGCTACGTGGACGCCAAATCGGCTCTAAAGTGCGTTATAATTGAAACAATATAGGCATATATATGTCTTATTAATAAAACGTAATTTATGCATAATATTTAGATGGCTACGGGGCGAAAACTACAAAGTGGATGCTGAATTCGATAGATTCGTGAGATTGAAGAACGAAGACAACAGCCCTTCCATATACTACGAACAAAAGTACGGTTTGATACTAATATCACACAGAAACGTATTTAAGTTTTTAGCACCCGGGTGGTATTATTTTTTGTCCACCACAATATAATTTTAATAATAATACAAATTTAGTTTTTTTTGTTTTAAATTTATATATGAACTGTACCTTGAATTATAATTGTGTTACTTATATAACCAGTGGTCGTGGTGCACACCAGAATATGTCAGAGTGTCGATCGAAAACATTTTAAAATACGTGGTAGAATAATTATTTCTGTTACGGTTCAACAATAAAATAATTTTTAATATTATATTAAATCCCACTCTAAAAACCTAAAAAAAATGAAAGAACTTACTTACTTACCTTACTTAAAACATCCCCGTTTAATTAGTTCCTCGACCAATATATCAACTGTATGGTTGGTGGATGGGTACCTAGACATGTTTACGTTTGTCCCATTTGATAAGTATTCATTTTTCGCCACTATATACCTGTATCAAATTGTTCGTTATCTACTTAGTATTCACTCATACATTAAGTATTATACGGCATACGTTTGAATTATCTACCGAAGTTTGTGAAGATATAATTTTACAATTGTACACTGTTTGCTGTTCAATTCAAGTACAATAATGAGATGACAATAAATAAATAAATAATAATACGATAAACCAGAATTGAGAGGTTGGAGTATACCTTTTTAATGATGTTAACGTTACAGGTATAGAAATATGTTTAGAAATACCGCCCGGGCCATCATCCCCCCTAGTCTCCCCTAAATACGTTTCTGCGATTATACACGATATAATATCAAATTGTGTTTTTCGAGTTTATGTATAACCGAATATTCGAACGGTTTTTCAGGAATATATTTAAGAAAGCGATCGTTTTGTCGTTGGCTCTGGCCACCATACAAAGACTGTCCGGCACCGGTGCGATCATACAGTTCACGGCGAAACTTTTCAAAATATCCGGTTCGTCCGTCGAACCGATCACGGCGTCGATAATAACCGGCATTTTTCAACTCATCGGTTCGGCTGTCGCCATTCAGCTCATCGACAAAGTCGGTCGTAGAAAACTTCTATTGGTATCGTCCGCGGTCGTGGTATTGTGTTTGACCATGTTGACAGTATACTTCTACTATTTAAACAAAGGTAATGTATCCATCAAACGGTGACATCTGCACGCGGGTTATTCTGCGATTCTGCAATCCTGAGCCAATACGATAGTTTTGAGGGCGGGGGAAATATTTTTTTTTTAATTTCCGCTATTGAAATAATTTGGGTTTAAAAAAATCTCTTTGCATGCATAGGATAGTAATATTAATTAATTAGTTGTAATAATTAAAAACTATTAGATACTGAGTGACGCGAGGAATATAACGTTTTATTATGCCGAGTTTGTTTGGTATTTTTTGCGTCTGTAAATAACTTTTCTACTAGAAATCAAGAAATTTCTTGTTTAATTTTTAATCTAGTTAATGCATTGAGAAGAGACTTTGTACAATTATCTTTGTATTTTTCTTTATTAATGGAAAAATCTAGTGAATTGTTTATATGATTTTTTTTTACTTCTTGATTACTTTGGCAACAAAGAAAAAATATGAATGCAGTGTTCAGAATCAATTTGTGTTAGTAACAGTTCATTGTTGGGTATAAATGTAAATGTGATTACTCTCTAAATATTTTGTTCCAACTTCCCTCATAAAACAGTGGCACACTTATCAGTAGTGTCAGCCTTTCTATATTTATTTATAGGCATGTAGAAACTCATTATAATATTCAATCGAGAATTGTTACTAAAAAAAAAAAAACAAGATTGGAATAAACTTGCCTGCAAATTTTCCGACTGGTAGGGAATGGAGGTATTTATCAAAACAAAATTAAAAAATTGTTGATACTGCTGATGAGTATTTCACAATCATAGGTAGAAACTTGGGAATGTATAGGATACCTTGAGTTATTTAATTTATATCTAAACGAAATAATAAATCATTACGAACTAAACACGATTCTGAGCAAAGTTCGGCTAAACTTTATTTTAAATTTTGTGCTTTTTTACGCTTATTGTCAAAATTTTAACTTAAAAAAAAACGTATATAAGAACTACATTATGTTCAACTTTTTTTTTACTACTAAGTACAATTTATATTGAACCCCGTGTAATTGAGTATTTCTTTTCGGTCAAAATAATTTTATTTTTATACAAAAAAAACCAATTATATCTAAAAGAAATTCAAAAATACCAAATTTCAATAAATAGATAAAAAATCAACAGAAAATTTTAAAAATTTAAGTATTTCATACAAATTGCAGGTCTCTGTGATTGTTTTAACGAATTACTAATTTTTTTTTGTATTTCCGACGTTTTTTTGATGGTTGTTACCAGTCATTAAGAAAATTGCAAGGAAAATCAAAAATGTCTTCATACACCGACTAGACGAAATTTGCATTTAGAATTGATGCTACACTTGAAAATCAGAGCAAGATTTCTGGTAAAAAAGTTGTTCGCAAACAGATAAAAAAAAAAAAATGTTGAAAAACGTCATAGTTCCACGCTTCGCTCATAACCTAAAAATATATTCATCCATTAAAATAATGTTTTTATAAATTATTATTTTCAGGCACACTCGAAAACTCTTCGTTAAAAATTCTGCCAATCTTCATAGTGTGTACGTTCATCGTGTTTTTCAGACTGGGTCTGGGACCGATTCCGTGGTTCATGACCACCGAACTACTTGGTGGCGATCACACTAACTCAGGCGCTCAGTCTTACGTGGCTTCTTATTCCTGGATATTGTCATTTTTCGTGATGCAAACATTTTTACCGCTAGTGGCAGCCTGGCCAGTGGCCCTGTGGTTCGGATATGGCGTGTTGTCCGCTATTGGGTTTTTCGTTATATTGTTTTACATACCCGAGACCAACAACAAGAGTGACGACGAAATTCGCCAATCGCTAATGCAGTGAAAAATACTACAGAATATGGACCATAAAAAATGTATTATAACGTCATGTTCGTAAAATCAGTATAAGTGGAGTATTTATGTTTTCTCACACAGTTGTATGATATGTTTTTAAAATAATTGTCATCGAAAGACGAAAAAACACTATTAACTGTACAATATTATAATATTTTCTATTGTGTTCATATTTGTTTTTAAGTACCTATATATATATATAATATATTTTTTAATACAATCGTAAAATTATTTTTATTAGACAATCTATTTATACATTTTTTATTTCGATACATTTGAAAATGGTCATTAATTTTTTAAACCCATTTAATATTATGCACTTATTCGTATACTGTTCTCATTTGTAATATTATATTTTGTATGATTGTATGATTGTGCGTTTAATCCTATATTTTATAAATAAATCATTTGTGACAATACAAATTATTTGAAAAGCGAGCCACATGTATTTCTTTTAAAATAAGATCTATTTATTTTTTTTAAATTGCGTCGTGGTATCAAGAAGTTTATCAGGATGGACATAATTTCTTTATAAAGTGATAGTAATGTTATCCCATTGGACAAATTCTATACATTTCAAAAAATAAGAAAAATACAGCACATTATATTATTTATTATTTTACCCCTTAAAATTATATTGTAATTGTGTCATTTTTATTTTTCAATTAAGTAGTTTCAATTTAGGTTATTACTAGGTATCAGTTAATGACGCACCGAAGTAGGTTTTTTTGAGACAATCGATCCATGACTAAAATAGGGGGCCATGGAATTCAAATTAAATCATATCAATGTGTCATTTTTTAATTAGAACTCAAATCATGCAATTTTAAAGTACGAGTTTATGGGTAATCATATTTAAAATTATTAACTCGGTATAGTATACAAGATAATAAGTAAAATTATAATTTTAAACACGTACGTCTCATTACCCCTCATCCTCTCATGGCTTAAAATTTGAATTTTTTATTACCAATTCGTATGATAAGTCTCTGAATTTGTAAGACAACCTTTAACTAAACTAACTAACTAACTTTAATATAAATTAGGTACGTATTTTTAACTCTGAACAGATACACAACTCATTTATGCTCGCGCAAAAGAACGGAAGTGCCAACTAAATTGTCGTTATTAATATTTCAATTATTTAAAATGTCCTGCAGTTAAATAACTGTATGTGTTCATGATCATACATGTATACGACAAGGCAAATTTGTGTTCAAAAGGGACAACATTGAGCTGTTAGTTTTGAAAGATAAGGATAATATAAGATTATGATAAGATAGAGCCTAGGTGAGATAATGTGTATTATATGTCGTATTATAATACATAATTGTGAGGCGAGTGCGTAGTAATAAATGCGTAAACACACCATATGAAGACATGTAATATTTCGAGACATTTTAGAAACGTACGATTTGCAACGATCATGACGGTTAGATCACATACAGTTGGACGTAGCTTATTCGGCTCCCGTTTTTCACAATACGAATTCATAAATACAAAAAATGTGCCATATCCATGTCGCATATCCGATTAAATTGTATAAACACAATTGATACAATTCGATTAACTAGATAAAATCAATTTAACAACAATTCATTTAGGCATATAATGTCTGAAACGTAAAATCCAAACTCTAATAATTTTAATAGATTCAATAAAACTTGCTATCGTAAAAACTAAGAAATTACACGAATTTTTCTGAGTCGCATCTGTACGTTTTGAGTACAGAAATACGATAAATTGTTACGAGAAATGTACGCGTAGTACAAAATACCGGAGCCGTTTCGGAATTTACCCATTAGTGCAACCTTTTTCGACTGAAGCCGTTTGGGAAAAAACAAACAATGGATGGGAGCCGTTCGGAAACCGACCATACAGTTTATACAGGCTATTAAGTACTAATATTTTTTACTGGGTTTACGCGTTGAAAATGTCTGGATCACAATATAGTTAAAATATTCGTTTGTCTTGTAAAAAAAAAAAAAAGAAAAGGAAAAATAATTTATTTACGATAGTTACACAGTATTTTTGACGTGCGATATGAACTTTACCGTTACACGATTATCGTAATATTATTATACACACAACTGCATATTATTATCAATAATTAATTATCTGTTTTATTTTTTATTCGCGATAATTCGATACCATCCTGTTCGTGTACGTGTCAAATTAAAAATAATTACTTATATGTTTTACAGATAATACCTATATATTGTGACTATATAATATTTACTTATCACCTAGTTTTATCGTACTGTTTTTAATATGGTAAATGGAAAAAATGAAAACATATTCGATAAAAAAAAATTACCGACATACTTCACACAGTGGATAGGCAAGGTACTTGTTACAAAAGAATTGATTGTATTATATATTATAGTTTATGTGTAGTTTAATTAACGAAAAATCATTGAAGGCAAAGATTTTGTCAATTTGAAATTATCCAAGTGTGCAGAGCGCCATTGCATAGAAATTGAAATTGAAATGTCCGTAATCGAGACGGTGGTGTTGTCGGTCACTAATCTGTTTACATTGTATCAAAACTTAAGACATTTGCGTGCCATAGTTCTTTATGCGAAATCGATGTATCGTCATTTTTAATTAGTATTTTTCTTATTTAAAAAAAATACACCAATTATGTATAAATAAAAACACGGTAGCAGGCACTTTGATGGGTTTTTGATTGGGGTTTTGTTCGGATATTGTGTTTTTTGCGCATAAATACTATGGCATTTTTTGGAATTTTTCATCAGGATATGGTGTCCTGATTATGTTGGCCACAGCCATCAACACATCAGTATTTGCTAAAAACTAAAAAATACACAACGCTTATCTGTTTTGAATATACCAACTATGGATCATGAGTGTACCTATTTCTAATCAATTGTATTGAGGTCTAAACTATAATTCTATAGGTACTTTATGTTCGCCTGAAAAATTATTTATTTATTTATTCGAATACTTATTTTAGTGTGAAAAATCTGTACCTAGTTGTTTGTTATGCTAAAAATAAATTTTATGAATTGAAAAACACACAAATGTTACAAATGTAGGCACAGTCATTATTATTAACAATCAATATGCACTAGGTATTATTAAACTAATATCAAGCTATTTAAGACTAAACTGTTATTACTGTTACGGAAGATATCGTGTATGTTATTATTATGATACAAATTTTATTTGAAATTCGAAATTTAACACGGCCTAGTAGATATAGAAAAATGGGATCTGGACCATGCGGGTGGCGTCCAAATCCCATTGAACCGTCCCCTCCAAATACACCACTACGTACAAATATAATTGTACACATTTTTTTTTTTCTCAAGCAAACAATATTATAAAAATAGGAAACAATTTTGCTATACGCGTTCCCTAACCTCCTCTATAAACTAAAATTAAAATTATATATATTCTTTTTTATTATTTATTATTTCTATAATTCTTTTTCAAAACGTATTGAATAATACTACTATAATATTTGTCGAGTAATACCTAATATTATGCATTTCGACATAGTGTTAATTTTAAAATTGCGTATTATGTAACATGTAAAATATTATTTAAATAGGACAATCGATGCCATTATTTATTTGTGTAAACTTTGTACTGCAGGTTTTTCAATAGAGTATAAATATAATTACACTAACATCGGTTTAAACATTGTAAGGAATACAATAACATAATGCGAGGAACGTGTATACTGCACATTATGATTAGTGATGGACACTTCCGAATATTTTATACTGTCATAAGTTTTGACGAACTATCGAATATTTCATTCGAATCATTTAATAATCAATTATTTTAACGTCAATGTATATTATTAAAAAATATTTTGTTTGAAAAATAATAAAACTAATTACTTGTAAATAAATTACACTATTAGAAGTAAACTTGTTTATGTATTGTATAGGCATATCATTACCAGGGCTCGTGACTTATAGTTCTAAAAAAAATTGTTGTAAGCACAATGATATACTCTTAAAAAAATTCATATTTGCACTTATAGATTGTACTAAAAATGTTGAAATATGCAAAAAATAAGTCTAACGACTGTTTAATATAATAATAGTGTATTAAGCAAAACGATAATTATGTGATAATACTCGTTCAACAATAAAACCATTTCATTGTTAATAGAGACCTCCTTATCAACAGAATTACCGAGTAATGACAATGATCACATAATTTGTTAATCTCATTTTCTTTTATAAAAATTACCGAAATATAAACTGTAAACGCAAATATAATATTAATTGTATGAGAAATGTTAAGTTTTCTTCTTTGAAATGACAATATAAGTGTCAAATAACGCTAGAAACATCAAAATATTTTATATTTGACTTTCTGGTTACCTGAAACAAATGTATAACTTACTTGTGTTACTAGGACTTTTCAAAACAAATATACAAATGCTACAAGTCATAAGCCTTGATTATTGTATTATACTTTTTGATTTAATTAAATATAAATACATAGGTACCTACATAAAAAAACATGATTATGAATTTGGATTTAAATAACGAAAACGTTCCATATTTGTATAATATTCGTTTGACTATTCATCGCTGAATTGAGAGTGATGAGACACGGTAGATGAAGATGACGGTGGGCGAACATTTGCGAGTACATTGATGCTTGGAGTATTATCGGATTGGCTCTGTTTAAGTTTTTTTATGTTTTGAAGAAGCTGCATTGTTTGCATTCGGAATGTAAATTTCTCATCCATAGTAAGAGATTTAACGGATGAGAGTAATGAATAAAAAAAAGCTAGATCTTCATCATTTTCGTAGGTTTTCTTTGCCGCTTTGTGGCTATTCATAAAGTCGATTAATGTATGTTCCACACTTGGCTTTTTTCTTTTATTGGTGGAGTTTTCGTTTGATGTTGTTGCTGTTATTTCATGGTTTATATCATCCTCACGAGTCACCGAATCTACCTCAATTCCATCGAAATTGGCTGATCCATCTTCTTCAGTTTTTACGTAACTAGAATCGGTAATTCGTGATTCTTTATTTTTCCTCAGGAATGATAACTGTTCACCGTAGATGTACTGTCTTATTTTTGAAGTCGCCGAACCAGAAATTTTACATTTATTTTGTTTTTTCAAGTATCGAATATAATTATCCCGGATTGTACGCCATTTTGACGTTAGATCTTGCACTGAGATAAAAAAAAAAAAAAACAATTACTTACTTTTTTGCATAACAGTTATCTAGAGGATGTTTTTAATTATTTGGTTTAGGATTATTTAATTTCAATTATTTTTAAATATTGTAGTTATTAGTTTTAAATTTTTTAAATTTTAGATTTCGAGTGGAGCTTATGGTTTTACAATGATATTTTTTTTTTTATCTTTAAACAACTTTTCTACCAGAATTATTGCTTCGATTCACATGCACAGCACTTTTTCTGAAAGGAAATCTGACTGGGGTGGTATTTTAGTGAGGTAATTTTTTGATTTTCTCATGAGTTTTCTCAATATATTGGAAAATCCGGGAAAAACGAAAGAACAGGAAAATAGGTACAATATCAAACAAACATTATTAAAATTAAATTATTATGTAATTTTTTTACTATATATTGATGACAAAATAATATTACCGACTGAACTCTGCTCAGAATAGTTTTTTCGAAAATATGTATTCCCGTTCCTAATTAGAATAAGTGGCTAATAATTGCAGAAGAATTCAATAACAGAGAAAATTATTCAAATTGCTTTGGTGCTGTTGATGTTAAGCGTATCCGTGTCATAAAACCGTAAAAAAGTGATTCGTTGCAATATAAGCATTATTTTTCCATCAGGCTGCTTGCTATTACCGACGCAAACTGTTAGTTCGTGTACGTAGATGTTAGATCTTATGGAAAAGATTCAGATTTAACCGTCTTTAAAAACTCGGCACATTATAGGAAAATTAAAAACAAATCAATTCAAATACACCCGCATCAACATGAGTACCAGGTGTGGATATTACAAACATTACCTTACGGTTTTGTTGGTAAAGAAGCATTTGAATTGAACAAAACACTTACTCTGACCGTATTCTGGTACTCATTTGCCAGTTCGAAAAAAAAGAATTTAACTATCGCCTATTATGAGCAAGACGATACATAGAATATACCTTTGGCATTCTTTCGAATAAGTGGCGTATTTTTCACAGACCGATTGCTGTACAAGTAGATTTCGCAATCAATATCGTTAATCAATGTTGTTGCGTTTTACATGATTTTGCTCGCGACCGAGACGGATTCAACTTTGACGATACACTAGTAATCAGTGGTTTTGAATAACCAACTATATAAAATAACTATATAAACTATACCAAATAACTAACATTGTTGAAAACTATTCGGGAAGTCGAAGTACCGACCGTTTCCGCGGTGTATTACTAAATTATTTTGTTAATGAAGGACAGTTATTGAATTGACAAAATGACAAAATATGAACTAAAGCATTATATATTTATAATATCTTTAAGCTATCTTTAAGCTAAGTATATTTACTTAGCTTACAAAATTACTTTAATAATTTAATTGACTTACTTAATTTTTAGTTATAATTTGAATTTTGTTTATAAACAAATTGACATATATGTGAATTGTGTACGTGCGTATTTTATCGTATTTATTTTAATTACGTAATTAAAAAAAAAAAAAAAAGAAGAAAATACTTACAAATTATTTTTTGCTCAGATTCATTTTTCTCTTGAAAGTCAATAATAAAACTTAAGGCGATCTCGCACCATGCTTTATTTTTTTTTGTTTTGTCCTTATAATTTTTGTCGGTGCTGTTCCACAACGATGGTCTTTTTTGCACCTCTTTTATTAATAACTCACAATCAATATTATGGGCTGCCATAATATTATAACGCTTTTTACGTTAAAACAACTTTTGAAAAAAATTAAAACACGAACAAATTTGAATAATAAAAAAAAAAAAAATGTGTTAACACTCCGTTCGGATAGTGCGTCCGTGTGAAGTGCGTTCGTGTGACCACGTGGCCAACGTTCAGATTGAAAACAATACAAATTTAATTTGGGCGTTGACGTATTCTACGTGCGTTGGAGAGATAATGCGTCGATAAAATTAAACGTCCGTATTAACGCGCGTTGAGGTAGGAACAGACTTCGGCCGGTGTCACACGGACGTACAAAATACGTCGATACGCGCGTACCGCTTCACATGCGTTGTAGAAGTACATTATCGTTAAAAAAAAAACGCGCGTTCGGACGGACGTCAATTTCTTATCGACGTATTTTTTCTAGTCCGAAAATTATCAACGCGCGTTTAGAATTATATTTAATTCCAATATAAGTAGACACACGTGTGCACGAAGTACCGTCCGTATTGAAACCTGAAATTACTTGCAAAACATTTGTACTGATTTTACACTGAAATTAACACGTTATAATAAAATAATTAAAAAATTGTACAGGATCTTGCCTTAGTTTCTTATAGAGTTGCACGTAATGTCCTGAAGTATGCCGTTCGTTGTTGATTGGACGAACCCAATGGTTTCTATCTTTTTTTTTTTTTTTCAACGGACGTCATATTATCAACGCTCGTGTGCCCGCTCTAGTACGCGCGTTAAAATAATACGTCCGTCATAACGCGCGCATTTCGTACGTCCATGTGACACCAGCCTTTATTGTCACGTCACGGGAAAAAAGTGTGGGATTTACACAGTATTTTTATGTATCAGCACCACACTGTTGTCATCTCACACGTGTCACGTCACATTTCCTGCTTTACGCGTGATAGCAAGTTTTCATTTTCTAACATCACACACATTTTCGACCGACGTGACCTCGCAAATTTCGGTTTTTGTCTATTTTGTCCAGAAAAATATTAAGCCACTTTATTAAAATGTATACTGATGTATGAAATACATGTGAAATCGTCTTGGTTGGTTTCGTAATTCGAGAACTAAACGGAGGAATTCGTCCAATTTTTCCCTCTTTTTTTTTTTTCTTCGTTTTCGTGTACCCAGCTTGATCGGGTGGTTTTTTTATTTGCTTCATCTAAAACCGTAAAAACAGCTGTAGTTTCCAGTTCTTCTTTTCACTCTGAACTACTTGAAGTTTCTTTGTCCATTTTAAATTTTATTTAAAAGAAAAAAAACACGTGTGTTCACAGTTTGTAAACAAAATAGTGATTACTGAGTAACTGTGGAGTGATAAAGCATGACGACTTGATGATGTGATAATAGTTTGTTTCTAAGCATATCATCACGGTTCAAATGTGCCAACGTGTAAATAGCATGTGAGCTCATGTGACGTGACAATAGTCTGTTCCTACCTTTATTTACCTTACCTGCTTCCATAACTATAATAATGTACTTCTACGACGCACGTCAAAAAGTACGCGCGTATCGACGAATTTTGTACGTTCGTGAGGTCCCAGTTGTACAGTTCGGTAATTATAGTGTGATTACCTAATCAATGATGAAATCGTACGTTATCCACGTGCTAGTTGTACAGTGGATTGTTAGGCTGGATGTGATTAGTTAAACGGCGTCCAGCCTATCTTCTGAGAATGTGGCTGACATTTTAAATTAGGTAACACAGTTTATTACTAACACTGTAGTTACACACAAAATTTATCAAAAAAAAAATCGTTATCTCTCCACCAAGTAAAAACGATCTGTTCGAGACCCGAATATACGTCACTGTCAAGGAACCGCTCTCATCAAAACTAAGTTTTCAAACTCTTCGTCCCCAAATCTGAATTATCTTCAAATTCAGAATTAATTTAAATAAATATTAAAATTTATCAATTAACACAATAGTTACATAAATTAAAAATGACTAATGGTTATTCGAATTCGGAAATCAAACGTGAGACAGTACTGATAATAGTAGCCATCTACAACCGTAACAACAGCCGAAACATTAACTAATCACAGTTTAACCACAGTTCAGCCGACCCTGGACGGGTGATTAACTTAACGGATCTTTAATCGCTGATTAAGGAGTTGACCGACGCTGTACAACAGGCCAAATGACTTAATCATTAATTATGACTCGATCACTGTTTAATCTCGCACTGTACAACTGGCCCTTAATGTCTAAATATTTAATGGAACAAAATCGATTTCTTGTTATTTTTTAATTGGTGCAATATTTCTGGTAGAAAACATTAGTTGCGAGAATTGTAAAACACTGAAATCGATAACGCGCACGCCGTGACGCGCTGTGAATATTTGCAATTTTGCCTAGAATTTTCTCTCGGATTTTTCCCAATTATTTAGAAAGCCTCTCGGAAAATCAAAAAATGGCCTCTTTAATGCGTCAACTAGACAAAATGTACTACACTCTTATACATCGAATCGAGTTTTCTTTTCAAAAGTTGTTTACAATCTGAAAGTTATCACACTTATAATTGACAAAATATGTATAATCAATAATTATGTTTCACGCCGGTTTTCCCCGTCGCTATAATCATTAACATTATGATGAGCAATTATTTTTCGAGTTGTCAATTACAACAGTACTTCAAAGACCAGATGTATCTGTTGAAATGAATTCGAATCGTTACAAACGAAAAACGCACAACACAAACCATAGCGGGAACCAATGCATCCCTCGCTCCGACCGGAATCTAAAATATTAACAGTAACAATGATGTCCGTATATAATTCGTCTACACTGGTATCGCGTTATTGTGGCGATATAATAAGCGAACGTGCTGCAGGTTCCCGAAAGATTAAAAAACGGCCTAATATGCGACAACATGGTTTTTTTTTTTTAATATTATTTTGAAAGCGTTTCGAAATAATTACCATAGTAATATTAACAAGTAATGAGGTATATTATGCGCGTTTCAATCGTAACAATTCAATTTCGTAATTTAACATAAATTATTATTATTTTCGAACAACACACAATATTGTGGTTTTTATATATTGTGTGTGTTTACACCGATAAGGTTTTCAAGGTCAAATTCACAACAATATATAAATATAATACAGTGTCGTTTTATAGTAGCGCGTGTCGAGTGATTTCACGAAAGATTTCCGTACACAATCGTATAATATTAAACTACATGCCCGTAGTTTGGGTGCTTGTTACTCGTATTTGTCATTTTCAGACACAATTTGACTTACCTGTTTTTGTACACGCCCGTAAACGGGAATTTAATAGCTGTATTATTCCATAAACAATAATGACATTTTATATGTACACCAGAATAAGTGTTTGCGTTTCAATGTCATCGAATCTTATGGGCAGTTTGTACGCGGACACGGACGAAATGCACGGCTTATTGTATAAAAAGGAACAAGTTGGTGCATTGAGAAAGATATTGTTTTGATTTTTCCTGTAATTTCCGGTAGTTTAATTGCGGAAAACCGGTAGAAATGTACAAAATACTTCTGTTAATCTTTCCTCGAGGTGTTAAATGTTCAAAACATAATGGTGACTTTTAAGCTGATTAAAGGTGACATTTTCTAGTTTTATGTGGATAGCATTATTTTGACAAGACAGAAATGGTTGGAAATTAAATATACGGTTCATCATAATAATCATAATAGGTAGAACTTAGTGGTAAGAATAAAATTCGACATACCTAATGAAGTAATTTTTTTTTATAAATATTTGAAGTTTAAATTCTGATAAAAAATTATCAAATTCACGGCATTTCAAACCGTGTTAAATCGAAATTCGCTTAGAATCGTGTTTTCGTTGGCAATGAAAAAAGTATCATTTCGTACAGATATAAACTAAATAATTGTATGTATCCTCTGTCTTCTCAACTTTTCGTCTAAACCAGTGACATTTCCATCAACAGTATCACAGCTCTGTTTTCATTATGTTGCCTTAACAAGTGACATTTTTTAAAAACCTAACTCACAACTCATAAGACTCAAGTATATTTTTACCACGTCGAAAATAATTAAATAGTGAACTACTGAGGCCTGCAGTACGGAAACAATCAAGAATTTTATCAAGTGTCAATGGTTTCAATCGATCGGGACGTTATTGATGCACAAGACCGAAAACACCGTGTTATAGAGCGATAAAATATAATGCGGATCGAGAGAAACGGCGACATATTATAATATTATAGCGATACAATTCTTGCAGACTCATAACAAAGCCAGAAAATAAGAAGTAATCTATTTTTATCGGTTTGATCGGATGATAAAATATATGTATATTGTATGTATTATATATATATATATTATTTTTAAATTCTGAGCGGAGCGAGAAATGTATTGGTTTTACAATGATGTTTATTATTTTTTCCTATGGACAACTTCTACCAGCAATTTTGCTCCGATTTTCAATTATAGCACTTTTTCTGAAAGGAAATCTGACTCAGATGGTATTTTAGGGTGGTTATTTTTTGATTTTCCCAGTTTTCATAATAAACGGGGAAAATAGGTACAATATTAAACGAATATTATTAAAGAAAATATGTATATTGCATATCATGTATTTATTTTACCATAATATAACATATATTATATTGTTGATAAAGCAACACTGTTAACCGGACTCCGCTCAGAATTGTTTAGCAATCGTTGGCAATGGTTAGCCGTTGCGTACAGATATGCATTAAATTTCCCCTCTACCTTCCCAACTTTTCACCTAGAACAGTGGCCCACCCACGTGCGAGGTATTTCCTTTTTCTTTTGTCAGTGTTACTATTCACAACACACACAATCATTTTGTGATGGTTGACAAAAATATTGCAACGGGTAAATTATTTCACAACAATATTATATTGCCGTACCTATACGTATACTTCTATAATAATTCGCTCACGTTCATTTTCTGTATTCGTGATTAGTCGGAAAACATACGTGCCGAATCAATAATATGATTAAACGTATAGCAAATAGTTTACCCGTGTATTTTGAAGTTACTAATTTGTGTTTAATAAAAGCCAATCGTGTAACAATCAGTTCT